AAATGTTCTCACGAAAGGCTTTATCTATATAAAATATGTTTTTTTTAATTGCTCAGTGGAAAATGTCATGATGCCATTTCTAACCTTAGGGTCTCTGGGCGGGATCCAGAAAGAAATGTGTACACACCAGAAATCAAAATGAAATAATAATAATAATAATTATCATTACTATAATAATAATAATAATAATAAAAGTGCCTCCTTATTTATATGGCAGTTTTGCTGACTGCAATGTATCTTTGAAGATATTCAAAAAAAGCTGTTAAAATACAAGGACCTTTGAAATAGAAATCTCAAAAAATGTGGCATATATGGAACATCAACACTTCCTTTTGTAGTTGGAGCCCTAGGATTGGTTGGAAAAGATTCCAGTAGATTAATTGAAGGGATTCCTGGAAGTCCATGCCTCACAGAGATACAAAAATTGTTCACACAAGTACATCCCACACTTACTACGTAATATTTTTTTTTTCATGGAAAGTGTCGATGCCATCTCTAACCTTAGGTCCCTGGGCGGGACCCGGAAAAAAATGTGTAAACGTCAGAAATCAAAGAAAATAATAATAATAATAATAATAATAAAAATACAAAAAAAATGTTCTCACATGTACAGCCCACACCTTACGAAGGGCTTTATCCATATAAAATATGTTTGTATTTTTTTTATTGGTCAATAGAAAATGTCACGATGCCATTTCTAACCTTAGGTCTCTGGGCGGGACCCGAATGAAATGAGTACACACAAGAAATCAAAGGAAATATTAATAATAATAATAATGGCTGGTGCCAATAGTGCACTTGCAACGACATGATAGGGCTGCTTAGTATATGCATTGGTGAATATATCGGGCATTCAACCTGACTCGGAATGAACTGATGGGGGGGTAAGGAAACACAATTGTACAAATGATGAAGTTACTATACTCTGGGATTTCAGCGCCCAGACTGATAGGGAAATTCAGGCAAATAGACCAAACATAATTGTGAAAATCATATCGAAAGCAAAATGTCTTCTGATAGATGTTGCGTGCCCAGCCGGCAAAAACGTATGAGAAACAAAGTAAATACAAGGACCACGATATAGAAATTACTAGAAGGCGGCATCTCAAGACAACAATGTTTCACTGTCTCACTGTTGTTATCTGAGGCTTTGGAACTGATAACAGATATCTGGATCAAATTCCTGCTCGTCTAAAAATATGTAAATTGCCACCCTCCTCCGCGCGCGCAAAAAAAATTCATAGTCTAGTGTAGTTCTCACATTTTGCGTAGATTTTTTTTTCCATGCAGTGACCATAATTATGCATTTATTTCTCTCTAATTGCACGTGTCCCCATCTGTTTGTATCTTCTGGTACCAAAAAAACAAAAAAAAAAAACACTTGTCTCTTGAAGTCACTGTTTGAGTCTTAGGGGCAACTCGTACTACACAAAGCAAAAGCGAATGATACTACTACTACTACTACTACTACTACTACTACTAATAATAATTCTTTTAGAGGTTATAGGCAAAAAGGGAACAGAATAATGGAATCATCGAGTTGGCGTTCGCTGGTCAATCATTAAGGCCATGAAAGAAAGAACTAATAAGCCATATTCTAAACAAGGAACAAGGTGTAAATCTCTACCCCAGTCCAACAGACCAGGGGCAGTAGAACTAGATGATAACTATATATATATATATATATATATATATATATATATATATATATATAAATATAAAAGTGAGCATAAGTCAATTATAGGCGGACTTCTGTTTCATGCTAGATGCAATCGTCAGGCCACGAGTGCCTGACGATTGCGTCTAAATGAAACAGATGTCGCCTCTAAGTGTTGACGTCAGTGTTTCAGTTATATTTATTGATTGCTGATATTGAGCAGTTTGTCCCATAAATATAGAACATCTTAAGACTATATTTTTTATATATATATATATATATATATATATATATATATATATATAATACATGGGGAATATATATATATATATATATGTGTGTGTGTATAGTATGGCTGAATATATATATATATATATATATATATATATATATATATATATATATATATTAAGTATATAGCTATATGGCTATTTAATAAATGCTTGCAATCTTATCCTCTTAAAATGTCAGTCAATATGTCAAGTGCTAACTTGTCAACAGTAGAATTTTCGAGAGCAAGCTGTTTTATTGTTATTATTATTATTATTATTATTATTATTATTATTATTATTATTTCAGCGTACATTTTTAAAAAAGTTTTTTCATAATTTTGTGATTTTTCTTTTTTCCAATACAGCCATCATTTCTCCGTCCCAATTTATTTGTTCAGTAAGCTTGAAATTATATCCGACATGTTTTTTATTCCCGGTACAACTAAATTCTTATATTTTTTATATACCCCCATCCAATTCTTTTCCTACTCAGAGTTCTTCTTCTCGAATCTGTCGACCGAGTTATGTATTTTATTTACTTTTTTCTGTTTCTCCTTCCAATGTTCAACACCGCCCTTTTCTGACCCCGGACATCAGGTGATAAAACAGATGCCTCTGTCATTAAAATGGATATTTTATCAAAACTTACAAACTTCCGTTCATATCTCGCGTTTTTTTTTTTTTTTTTTAATTATTTTTATCCGTTTTTTTGGGAGTGGGTTTTTTATTTCATTCTTTTTCTTTCTTTTTTATTTTTTCGTTTCTCTTTTTTTTTCTTTCATATCTCTTGCAATCATCTTCTAGCGTACATTTTGTCTTTCATTCCTTTTTTCTTTCTTTCTTTCTTTCTTTCTCTTTCTTTTCTTTCTTTTCTTTCTACGTTTGTTCTCTTTTTTTTCATATCTCTTGCAATCATCTTCTAGCGTACATTTTGTCTTTCATTCGTTTTTTTCTTTCTTTCTTTCTTTCTTTCTTTCTTTCTTTTCTTCCTTTGTTCTCTTTTTCTTTCTTGCAATCATTTCCTTTTTGTCTTTCATTTTTTTCTTTCTTTCTTTCTTTCTTTCTTTTTTTCTTTCCTTTCTTTTGTTCTCTTTTTCTTTCTTTTCTTTTTTTTCCTTTCGTTTCTTTATTTTTTCTTTCTTTCTTTCTTTCTTTCCTTTTCTTTCGTCTTTTTAACTTATTTTTCCTTTTTTCTTTTCTTTCTTTTTTTTTTTTCTTTCTTTTTTTTCTTTTCTTTCTTTCTTTCTTTTTCTTTCATATTTCTTGCAATCACTTTTTGAAATTTTGTCTTTTTTCTTTGTTTGTTCCTTTTTCTTTTTTTGTTTCTTTTTTTTCGTTTTTGTTCGTTCCACATATTTTTTCATTCCTTTGTCTTTTTTTTCTTTCTTTCTTCTTTCTGCTCTCAATCTATCTTTCATTTTTATTTTTCTATCTTTTTTTTTTCAATCTTTCATTTTTCTTTTTTTATTTTTTATCTTTTTATTTTCATTTCTTTCTCTCTTCTTCTCCATATATATATACATATATATATATATATATATATATATATATTTATTTATATGTTATTGTTCAAATTTTGCTTTCCATTGTTTAGCAATCCTTATTTCTTATATTTTATTATTTTAAAATAAAATTTAACAATTCTAATTTTTCGGCATCCATTTTTTTTTTAACCGGATCCGCCATAACGAATACTTCTAACTTCTTCTGCATGTCTGCAATTTCTATTTACACACACTTTACACACACACACTTGCTTCTTTTCCCATTTATATATATATATTTCGATCTGTCGCGTTTTCATTTTTTTGACGATTCAATATCTTTTTCTATTCAGTATAGTCAAAGCTGTCATTTATTCCTAAGCTCAGTCTTTTTTTTGTTTTTTTGTCAGCCATCTGAAATAAACCTCTTCTCATACCGGATTTAAACGGCTTCTATCACACCCCCATGAAAATCACACGGTCAGTCGGTGGCTTTGTTACTTATCTATCTATCTATCTATCTAGCATCCCAGTTTTTACACTATCTATCTAAATATGTTCATATCTATTCATCATCAAAAAATGTTCTTTATCTAACGCAATATCTATCTATCTATCTATCTATCTATCTATCTCTTTTCATATCTATCTATCTTATCATTTCAGTCTTTTCATATCTATCTATCTATCTATCTATCTATCTATCTATCTATCTATCTATCTATCTCATCATAAATCTTTTTCACCTATTTATCTTATCATTTCAGTCTTTTCATATCTATTATCTATCTATCAATCTATCTATCTATCATCTCAGTCTGTTCATATCTATCTATCTATCTATCTATCATCTATCTATCTATCTATCTCAGTCTGTTCATATCTATCTATCTATCTATCTATCTATCTATCTATCTCAGTCTGTTCATATCTATCTATCTATCTATCTATTTATCTATTTCATCATTTCACTCTTTTCATAACCATCTGTCTTATCATTTCAGTCTTTTCATATCTATCTATCTATCTATCTATCTATCTATCTATCTATCATCTATCTATCTCACTTTGTTCCTTAGCCTGTTTTGTATCTTTCTCTCATCCTCTCTCTCTCTCTCTCTCTCTCTCTCTATATATATATATATATATATATATATATATATATATATATATATATATATATATATTCTTATCTGTCTCAACCCATCAAAATCTTTCTCCTTTCTGCATTCTTCGTTCTTCTAATATATTTCCATATTATCCCCCACTCCCTTCACTTGCCCTCACCACGTCATTTCCGTAACTCTTTTGCGCCCTCCTTTCCAAAAAAATTCCTTTTCTTTTTCCCCCTACAGCTCAAATCGCCTCGTCCAGCAAACCTCTTTCTGCTTCACATGGCAACACCGCAATTCCCTTCTATCTTGGGCCTTGTTTCATTTTTCTTGTGACCTCTCTAATGTCATCTGACCACCTTGACGTCATCGGACTGGAGTTTAGGTGTGAACAAGGCCCGGAATAACAATTTCAGGTAAATTGGGAAGCCAAATCTGAAGGACAAAAATAAATTATCAGCGCTTTATTATTATTATCATTATTATTATCATTATTATTATTATTATTATTATTATTATTATTATTATTATTATTATTATTATTATTATTATTATTATTAAAACCTTCTTGCTTTTGCTTTCATTATAGTAGAGTCCTTTTACACACACAATCACCTGTGAGGTAGGATAAATGAGGTAACTAAAACATATGCATTCTGTTTGCAAAAAATTCTGATGTTAAGTGCTACTTAACTTGTACAGTGTTTATGTTTTTGTCATATTTGACTGTTAAATCACGCAAATTTAAAAAATACATTTTTTATCACCAGAGTTAAGCAGTATCCATCCTGCTCATTATTTATAAACGGGGGCTGTTTCGGAACACCGTGTGAACATAAGAAACCTCCTATAATCCAAAAATATGTTTTGGTTTTAAATAACCCAACATGGTGTGATAATCCGTAAAACAACAAACCACTCAATGTTTAACATTGATAATATTCTCCTAAGGTGAACACTTCCAAACAAATGCTTTTTTTTAAACTCTTATAAATATTTATTATCATGGATCTCTCGTTCTTCTTTGTACCTTTCTTTATCGTACCGAGTGCTCCAGTTATTATAGGTATAACCGCAGTTTTAAGATACCACACTTTTCTCGACATTGATGTGATTTCCTGAGTAGATGAACAGTTTCACACTCCTATTCTCCCAAGCTATGGGTTAAATAGTAGAGAGCACTGAGCTCATCGGACTTTTTTGGTAATCAGTCTAGGAGAAAGACAACAATGAACTAAAAAGAAAAAAAAACTGTATTTAGTCCTGGCGAAGAACACACTATAGACAGATTAACAAGATAGATAGATAGATAGATAGATAGATAGATAGATAGATATGAACGGAATGAGATAAATGGATAGATTATTTCAATCTATTATAGATTATCCCTCAAAGACTTTACTTATTATTATTATTATTATTATTATTATTTATTTCTGCTTTCTGTTTAGTACAGTCCCTTCTCGGGTCATCACCCGTGACCTAGGGTAACGCAAGGTATCTAAACATATGTATTCTGTTTACACATGTTCTGATGTTAAGTGCTACTTAACATGTACAGTGCTTATATATTCTTGATATTGATGAATAGATGAGGAGTTTCATATTCCTCTTCTCCCAATCTATGGGTTAAATAGGAGAGAGGACTGGGCTCACCGGTCTTTGTAGGCAACCACTCTAGGAGAAGGACAACTCTGAACTAAAAAAAAAAAATGTGTTTCTGATAAAGCACAAAGTATGCAGCTATTGAAAGGAACGTGGTGTTCACATTGACCCCAATGATCCCAACCGTATTTATTTAGATTTCCACTTGAAGATCCTTGAATTTTGAAGATTATTATTATTATTATTATTATTATTATTATTATTCCTTTTGCTTTCAGTGTAGTAGAGTCCTTTACCGGGTCATCACCTGTGAGCTAGAGTAAGGCAAGATAGCTAAACATATGCATTCTGTTTTTTGGGATTCTGATATTAAGTGCTACTTAACATGTAGAATGTTTATATTTTTCTTTACATTGATGAGATTCCCTACTGTAGATGAGCACTTCAGCACAATGTGCAAGATCTATTATTAACAAAATGCCGGGATTTTGTCAATATTCTTGGCTGAAATTTTCTTGATCATAAACACGAATCCAATTAGTATAATAATTATTTTAAAGTGAAAATGTTTTCAATTTCCATCTCAAGATCCTTATGCTGACTTAATTGGTCGTATTCTTTTACAGAGATGTTTTTATCCGAAAACACTGCCATATTTATGACGGGGCATTTTCTCGTAATCTTGAATTATAATGTTGGGTCTTTTTAAAAGATGATAATGCCACTAAGACGCAAAGGGGGCCACGGGGAGTGAAAAAAGAATGAGAAGTCTTCAAAAGAAACCAAAAACCCAATCCAAAACTGGAAACAAGGGATAAATCTCTACTCCTGTTCAAAAGACAGTGGAGGAAGATAGATAGATAGATAGATAGATAGATAGATAGATAGATAGATAGATATGAACATATATAGATAGATATGAACAGACTGAGATAGAGATAGAATAGACTGAGATAGATAGATAGATAGATAGATAGATAGATAGATAGGAAAAGGACCAAGATAGATAGATAGATAGATAGATAGATAGATAGATAACAGACTGGATAGATAGATACGAACAGACTGATAGATAGATAGATAGATGGACATAGATAGATAGATAGGATAGATAGATACAACAGATAGATACTGAGATAGATAGATAGATAGATAGATAGATAGATAGATAGATAGATAGATAGATAGATAGGAAAAGGACCAAGATAGATAGATAGATAGATAGATAGATAGATAGATAATAGATACGAACAGACTGGGATAGATAGATATAACAGACTGAGATAGATAGATAGATAGATAGATAGATAGATAGATAGATAGATAGATAGAAAAAAACCAAGATAGATAGATAGATATGAACAGAAGAAGATAGATGAATAGATTATTTTAATAAATTCACCCCAAGCAAGGCCATAATGCCACTAAAAGCAAAGGGGATACTGGGAAGGAAAGAGAATAAGAAAATTTAGAATGAACCGGAAAACCCAATCTGAAATCGGAAAGCAAAGGTTAAACCTCTACTCCTGTTCAAAAACCAGAAAAGGGAATAGATAGATAGATAGATAGATAGATAGATAGATAGATTGATATTGATTTGAGTCATAAATAATTTCCGTTAGGGAAACAATTGTAATGACGAATGTATCCTCTACTACTAATCACACATGGCAGTTAAATGGATTACACTAACATAGAATAGATAGATAGATAGATAGATAGATAGATAGATAGATAGATAGATACGAACATTTTTGTATTGTTTGAAAAAATTTCTATCTGCTGAAAGTCGATGTCTGCAGTAAACATGAGACTGACTGGTAAATTTCCAAAGGTATATATTCACTAATGGAATCCTACGAAATGACTGCCATTTAGAGGTGTGCGTTAACTGAAGAAATTACGCAACACTTATTTTGATTACCCACACCACTTAGAACGATTACTTTTGCTACTTATGTCAATGTAAAAACAATCTTACTTGACAATAATATAAGAGATGGCTATTAAAAAGCGCTGTTGATTATTTAGGGCTAATTTGTTAATTTTTTTAATCATTTCACCCCAGGCACAGCAATAAAGTCACTAAGACGCAAAGGGGTTACTGGATGTTAGAGAGTATGAGAAAATACTATTAAGGAGAGAAAACAATGAAAGAGACAATAATTAAGAAGACAGAAGATAGGAAATGAGACACTAAAATAAGTAACCAAATAATCGCTTCAAGTTCTCAGAATATCGGTGCCTTTAACTTGCTTTTGTAGCCATTCAGTCTACGCTGATTTAGATCCTTCTATAATATTCATGTCAGGATTGTGTGCTTTCAAAAAGACGTGTAGTCGTTTTGTAGAAATGCTCTTCATGTTGGAAGTGACAAATTGATAGAGCTTTGGATCTTGACAGCGTTGACCAAATGAACAATTATACATTTGTTAACCATGTTCTATAAAAATATGACCAATTTAACTTTGGGTTACTTAACTACAATATGGCAAATGTCTACACATAAAATAGACAATTTTTTTTTTTTTATAAATAAAAGCATATTTAATTTCAATGAAACCCACACCTACTTAACTTCAATAGTGAATGACCGCACATTGATGAGAGTCTCCTGAGTAGATGAGCAGTTTCATATTCCTCTTCTCCCCAGCTATGGGTTAAATAGCTGAAGAGCACTGGGCTCATCGGTTTTGTTGGCAATCAGGTAGGAGAAGGACAATTCGGAACTTAAAAAAGTATTTACCCCGGGCGAAGAACACATATCACAATATTTTTTATAAATCATATTTAATATCCTCTATAAAAAAGAACATTAACGAACTCAAAAATATAAAAAAAGTCACTTCTTCTTCTTCTTGCCCTCCTCCTCTTCCTCTTCCTTCTTCTTCTTCTCCTCCTTCTTCTTCTTGTCCTCCTAGCCTTCCTTCTTCTTCATCTCCTCCTCCTCCTCCTCCTTCTTCTTCTTCTTGTCCTCCTCCTGCTCCTCCTTCTCCTGCTTCTTGTTGTCCTCCTTCTCCTCTTTCTTCTTCTTCTTCTTGTCCTCCTACCTCCTCCTCCTTATTCTTCTTATCCTCCTACTCTTCCTCTTCCTTCTTCTTCTTCTTCTATTTCTGTCCTTTCATGACGTTGGCGATCATTAATAAATTTTTTTTTTTATATCTCCTAAACCTTGTTTCTCCACCCATTTACACAAAAATCTAAGTAGGTTATGCATTGTTTTCCTCTGTCTCTTTGCCTTCAATATGTCCTGTGAGTATCAATCTTTTCAAGCCCTCTTTCCTTATTATGTGCCCTAGAAATTTCAACTGTCTCTTTTCTGATGTTAAGTTTGAGTTCCATTTGGTTTACATTTTTTCTAAAACTTCGTTGTTGCTCACTTGTTTGGTCCATGGTATTCTCAGCATTCTTCTGTAGAATCACATTTCTGTTGCTTCAAGTCTGTTCTTCATCTGTGAGGAGATTGTCCAAAATTCAAATGGGAGACTGAAATTTTGACAAATCCGTTCTCTATGCTTTGTTTCTAAAAAAAATGTTTTGTTTCTTAACTTTTTCTTAGTTTTGAAAAGCATCTTTTGCTAAGAAAATGTCAGCAAACAAAAAAAATTTATTAAAAACTTCCCAATATTTAAATTTCCCGTTTCAAAATTTTGCTTAGAAAGGCATCTTTCGCTATCCCAATGCGCCTTCAGTTTCAGTGTCACACTTTCCGTCCTTTGTTAAAAAACACTTCCCAGATATTTAAATTTCCCTATTCCTAATACAATGCTTAGCTTTTGGAAGGCATCTTTCGCTATCCCAATGCCTTCAGTTTCCTTGTCAATTTCGTCCTTTGTAAAACACTTCCCAAATATTTAAATTTTCCCATTTCTTAAAAACACATTTTCGCTATCCCAATGCGCCTAAAATGAAAACTTTCCCTGTTTCTTAATACATTGCTTATATTTTTTCCCCGTTTCTTAATACTTTATTTTTGGAAGGCATCCCAATGCGCCTTCAGATTTCAATGTCACACTTTCCGTCCTTTGTTAAAAACACTTCCCAGATATTTAAATTTCCCTATTTTATATCATATTTCCTTAGCTTTTGGAAGGCATCTTTCGCTATCCCAATGACCTTCTGCTTTCGTGTCTTTTCCGTTTCAGTCACAATTTCCGTCCTTTTGTTAAAAACACTTCCCTTTCCGTCCTATTTAAATTTCCAGATGTTTCTTAATTTCTTTGCTTAGCTTTTTTTAAGGCATCTTTCTTTGTTACTATCCCACTGCGCCCAGATTTTCCCAAATTTCAAAAATCATATTTCTCAAACTCATCTTTCACACTTTTCCGTCCTTTTTGTTAAAACACTTCCCAGATATTTAAATTTCCTGTTTCTTAATACTTTGCTTAGCTTTTGGAAGGCATCTTTCGCTATCCCAATGCGCCTTCGGATTTCAGTGTCACACTTTCCGTCCTTTGATAAACACTTCCCCATATTTAAATTCCTTTTGTTTTCCTTAAACACTTCCCCCAGATATTTAAATTTCCGTCCTTTGATAAAAAAAAATGCTTTTTAAATTTCCTTTTTCTTAATTTTTTGGAAGGCATCTTTCGCTATCCCACTACGCCTTCGGATTTCAGTGTCACACTTTCCGTCCTTTGTTAAAAGGAAGATATTTAAATTTCCCTGTTTCTTAATACTTTTCTTAGCTTTTTCAGAAGGCATCTTTCCTTTCGCATTCCTTCTAATGTCCTTTAAATTATTTCATTCGTTCACACTTTCCGTCCTTTTTTAAACACTTCCCAGATATTTATATTTTTCTTAAATTTCCTTCCCTTTCTGTTTTCATACTTTTTTTAAAACTTCCCATCAAAATTTCCCTGTTTCTTAATACTTCCCACTTTTTGAGATCTTTCATTTTCAACTGCGCCTTCAGTTTCAGTGTCACATTTCAAACCTTTGTTAAAACTATTTAAATTTTCCCTTTTCTTAATACTTTCCTTAGCTTTTGGAAGGCATCTTTCGCTATCCCACTGCGCCTTCGGATTTCAGTGTCACACTTTCCGTCCTTTGTTAAAACACTTCCCAGATATTTAAATTTCCCTGTTTCTTAATACTTTGCTTAGCTTTTGGAAGGCATCTTTCGCTATCCCACTGCGCCTTCGGATTTCAGTGTCACACTTTTCCGTCCTTTTGTTAAAACACTTCCCAGATATTTAAATTTCCCTGTTTCTTAATACTTTGCTTAGCTTTTGAAGGCATCTTTTCCGTCTATCCCACACTTCCCAGCTTTCCCTGTTTCTTAATACTTTCCTTAGCTTTTTGGAAGGCATGTCGCTATCCTACAGCGCCTTCAGTTTCACCTTTCCGTCCTTTGTTAAAACACTTCCCAGATATTTAAATTTCCCTGTTTCTTAATACTTTGCTTAGCTTTTGGAAGGCATCTTTCGCTATCCCGCCTTCAGTGTCATTTCCGTCCTTTGTTAAAACACTTCTTCTTATTTTTGAGTTTTGGAAGGCATCTTTCGCTATCCGTCCTTCAGTTTCAGTGTCCAAAACATCTTTATTCCCAGATATTTAAATTTCCCTGTTTCTTAATACTTTCCTTAGCTTTTGGAAGGCATCTTTCGCTATCCCACTGCGCCTTCAGGATTTCAGTGTCACACTTTCCGTCCTTTGTTAAAACACTTCCCAGATATTTAAATTTCCCTGTTTCTTAATACTTTCCTTAGCTTTTGGAAGGCATCTTTCGCTATCCCAATGCGCCTTCGGATTTCAGTGTCACACTTTGCGTCCTTTTTAAAACACTTCCCAGATATTTAAATTTCCTGTTTCTTAATACTTTCCTTAGCTTTTGGAAGGCATCTTTCGCTATCCCACTGCGCCTTCAGATTTCAGTGTCACACTTTCCGTCCTTTGTTAAAACACTTCCCAGATATTTAAATTTCCTTGTTTGTTAATACTTTCCTTAATGCTTTTTTTCAGAAGGCATTTTTCACTTCCCAGCGCTTCGGATTTCAATACTTTTGTCCATCTTTCCTATCCTTTGTTTTCAAACAAACACTTCCCTGATATTTAAATTTCCCTGTTTTTCCCTGTTTCTTAATACTTTCCTTAGCTTTTGAAGGCATCTTTTAAATTTCCTATCCCAATGCGCCTTCGATTTCAGTGTCACACTTTCCGTCCTTTGTTAAAACACTTCCCAGATATTTAAATTTCCCTGTTTCTTAATACTTTGTTTAGCTTTTGGAAGGCATCTTTCCTCCCACTGCGCCTTCGGATTTCAGTGTCACACTTTCCGTCCTTTAAAAACACTTCCCAGATATTTAAATTTCCCTGTTTCTTAATACTTTAGCTTTTAAGGCATCTTTCGCTAAGGCATTTCAGTGTCACAATTCCGTCCGCCTGTCCCAGATATTTAAATTTCCTGTTTCTTAATGTTAGCTTTTTGGAAGGCATCCTATCCACTGCGCCTTCGGTTCAGTGTCAAATATCCTTTGTTAAAACACTTCCCAGATATTTAAATTTCCCTGTTTCTTAATACTTTGACTTAATCGCAGGAAGGCATCTTTCGCTATCCTGGATTGCCTTCAGTTTCAATGTCCACTTTCTCCTTTGTCTTCCCCCAGATATTTAAATTTCCTTGTTTCTTAATATTTCCTATAAAAAGGAAGGCATCTTTCGCTATCCTGATTTTGTAATTTCCCAGATATCGTAAATTTCCCTGTTTCTTAATACTTTCCTTAGCTTTTGGAAGGCATCTTTCGCTATCCCAATGCGCCTTCGGATTTCAGTGTCACACTTTCCGTCCTTTGTTAAAACACTTCCCA